GGTTTGATGACCGCTCGGAAAGTCCTGTGGGTCTCCATGGCATCCTGTTTGTCCTGTTTGGCTGACTTCCGTGGCATGGTGAACTTAGTATGACGATGCTTCATTTGCTTTTTTTTTTTCTTTTGAGATAATATTTGATTTTTATTTGGATGGATGTCAAATTCCCTGTGTAGCCCAGGCTGGCTTTGCACTTAAAACCCTCATGTCTTCCTAAGTCAACTGGACAGTGACAAGGGTACTTCTCATATCTCCTAAATATGTGCAAATAATGTACATAGATGTATACATAAATATACATTTAAAAATAAAAAAGCTGTCTTCAAGAGCTAGAGCTGTGTATGTGTTCCCGTTGCTCCTTAAAGAATTATAGCACCGTTGTTTGAGTTTAGTTCATGAATTTTGTCTAAAGGAAATCACTAATTAACACAAACCAGTGATGGAGTTTGTCCAATGTGCATTTGACTGTGTTATACCTGCACCGCAAAACTAACTAGAAAATCAAAGTATTAGTTGTTCAAGGGAAAGTGTTTTGGGGTTTTTTAAATTGAAGGTCAATTTTTAAACTGATACAGAGGGCATTGATAAACATGAATTATGTTTAAATTATTAGATGATGGATTGTGTTTTTTTAAATAAAGAAATAGTTGTGGGAAAGATTGGTCATTTTAACCATGATAATTTAATGGACATATCTGGTGACTAGTCCCCTAGAGATGAATCCTGTGCCATGCATTAAATATTATGGGGAAATGTATCTATAGTTAAGACCTTCCTTAATGACATCTGTACCACTGGACTCCTGTTCTTCTTGGGGGAAGTCAGACTATTCCATGAAGTTACTCTTGTGGGCATTATTGTTCATTGACCTCTGGTCTGTCAGTCACTGGGAACTCTATAGAGAACGTAGATTCCATCACCAGGCAGAATTCCAAGGAAGAGATGATTCCAGACATTGGGAATAGCTGCCTAGCAGACCACAGTTAAGTTGCTTCTCTCCTGGAGCATAGGGAGGGAGACAAGCTTGTGGGAACCCTACAAAGGGTGCACTGGCTAGAGCCAGAAGGCGGCAGGCATCCAGAGTAGATACCACATAATCTAGATAATCTAGTCTATCCTTGTCGCTGTCTGGTTTATTTAGAAAGAAAAGCCAGAGCAGAGAAATGACTTCCGCACATGTAATGAGTGCAGTTAGAGTAGAGCCAGGATGCCCGGACAGGAACATGCTGAGCAAGCACTCCTTCCCTGGCTATATCTCTAGCTGCCAAGGGATGTGTGCAACCCAGGGTAACCTTAGTCTGGATATGTAGCTGAGACTGGCCTTGAACTCTTGAGTTTTCTTCCTCTACTTCCCAAATGCTGGAGTTAGAGGCATGCATTACCATGCAGAAAGTTTTTTAATGAAAGTAGGCAAATGAGAGCTTAAAAGGTGCAAGCTGCAACTCCCTCACCGGCTGCAGCACTTGGGAGAATGGACCCTCCGCCTCCCATGGGCGGCGCAGTAGAGTTGACCCTGTAGACAGGTGCATTCGTGAGTCAGCCCTGAGGGTATGAGAGGGGCATAGCTGGTACCACCTCCCTCAAATGTGGTGTGGTGGTGGGGACAAGGAAAAGATGCCCTCTCCCTACCACCTCCAGCTAACAAGGGAGCCGACCCTCCCCCTTACCATCTGCAGCACTCAGGAAAATAGACTGTACCTCTCCTGGACAGCACAATACAACCGACCCTGTTGACAGAGATCTGGGGGAGCCAGTCCTGAAGTGGTGAGGTTGGAAGAGCTGTCCCCGTTACTCATCTGTCTTGCGGTGTGGGGAAGAGATGCCTGCTTTTCTCCCATCAACGCTTGAGGCAGGTTTACTTATTTTATTTAAATGAGTGCTTTATCTGTGTGTATGTCTTTATGCCAGAAGGAGGGTATCAGTCACACTAGAGATGGTTAGAAGCTACCATGTGGTTGCTGGGAATTGAACTCAGGACTTTTGGAAGAGCAGCCATCCCTCCAGCCCTGCATTATCTTTCCTTTAAGATATTATTTAGAAATTATTGTCTTTTGTCCTGGAAAAAAAGATATTATTTAGTTATTTAGCATCTATTTATTTATTTATTTGCAAATGGAACTGAGAATTGAACTTAGACCTTGCACAACTAGGCAAGTGCTCTACCACTGTGCTATATAATCCCCTTTAAAATAATTACATTGCATTTATTCATTGTGAGTAGGTTGTCTTAGCTTTCTATTGCTGTGAAAAGACATCATGACCAAAGCAACTTATAAAAGAAAGCATTAAACTGGGACTTCCTCCCAGTTCATGACCATCATGGCTGGGAGTATGTCATCAGGCAGGAAGGCAGGCAAGGTAACCACCAAGCAGAAAGTTCTAGCTAGGAATGGCCTGGTCTTTGAAATGTCAAAGCCCTGCCCATGTCACACCTCCTCTTACAAGGCCGTACCTTGTAATCCTTCCCAAACAGTTCTGCCCAATGCAGATCAAGTATTCAAGTGTATGAGCCTGTGGGGGCCATTGGGGTCACACAACACAGCATGAATGTAGAAGTCAGAAGACACTGACAAGTGTGGATGTTTCCATGTTGCTTCCCTCCCCTCCCCATTCCCCTCCACTTTTATGGAGCTATCTCCTCACCATTTTCCCACCCATGTTTTACTATTTATTTTTTGAAATTAAAAAAACAAGCTTTCATGTGTATGAATGTTTGCTTACATGTCTGTCTGTGTACGATGTGAGTGCGCACAGTGCCTCCAGAGACTGGAAGAGGACTTAAAATCCCCTGGAACTGGAGCTACAAATGGTTAACTGCCATGTGGGTGCTGGGAATCGAACCTGGGTTTCTGAAAGAACATCTTGCCAGCCCTTCCACCAATGTGTGTGCACATGTGTGTGCACGCGTGTCGCAGTACACATGTGGAGGTCAGAGAAGAACAATGAACAACCTCAGATGTCTGTTCTTGCTTTCTACCTTGTTTGAACAGTCTCTCCTGTTGGCCCTGGGTACGCCACTATGGCTGGCTGTCTAGGCGTCCTTCTGTTTCTGCCTCCCTTCTCACCCTGGGAATGCTGGGATTACAGGCACTGCTGTGTCTGACCCTGTGTAGCTTCTAGGGATCTGAGGGCTCCGGCGCTCACACTGGCACAGCAGGTGCTTTACCCGCTGAACTATTTCCCCAGCCCTGTTTCCAGTTTGCCAGGACAGTCCCATGTCGTCCAGGCTGATCCCCCTATGTAGCTGGGGATTTCCGTGAACTTCTGGTCCTCCTGCCTCCACTCAAAATCGCCAGGGTTGCTGGTGTTCTTGACTATGAAGAAAGCTTCCTAATGCAGGCAGATTGGGGGAAGTTTTTTTCAAGTGCAGGATGGGTCTCTACTATAAAGAGCGTCATCCTTTTCCCTCATTCTAGGGCTAATTTTGTTTCCAAGGCAGAAGGTGTCATCTGTGTCCTGTCTCTTCTTTTCGTCATGTGGTCTATTTATGGCAATGATGTCATACTGCAGAACTGACTTCCTTTGCCAAACCTCAGGTGCAAAATGTAAAGTCTCTTTAAAAAAAAGAAAAAAATCAGCCGTGCGGTGGTGGCATATGCCTTTAATCCCAGCACTTAGTAGGCTTAGGCCGGTGGATCTCTGTTAGTTCAAGGCCAGCCTGGTCTACAAGAGCTAGTTCCAGGACAGGCTCCAAAGCTACAGAGAAACCCTGTCTTGAAAAACCAGAAGAAAAAAAGAAGAAGAAAAAGAAAAAAATCACAGAATTCCTTGGTGGTATTGCAACTTCAAGATAATTGGTTCTAAATACCACCTATCTCTTTGCTTGTCCAACCACTGTTACTTGAAGAAATGCTTCCAATGAGAATGAGGGAATTGGCGCTGTTGTGAACACAGTAGAGTCCAGTGATTGAGACCCAGTGTCGTGACCCTCTGTCCTGATGGCTTGGGTATTAGCTATGGGCAGCCGCAGAGCACACAGCCCAGCTTCCTTTAGAATTGTCTGTCTACCACCTCCCCACCCACATCTGTTCCTGGGGACCTTTGGACCTGGTCACCCCATCAGAGCCAATCCCACGCCCTAACCTGCCTTAATCAGAGCTGGTTGGTTACTCTTGCTTTGCCGCTTATGTCCAAATAGCATATAACTGGCTGATGGCTTCCATGAGGCACAGTGCCTCTGTAGTCACAGGCTCTTGGACTCACTGAAAGGATTCAGAAAATGAGATAAATGAGTGCTGGGATTTTTCCCCCATTATTCCACGTGAAACTTTCTGTTCCATGTAGTGGCTGACAGCTAGCTTGGCTTTGGCACCATACCAAATCACTGAAGTAATATGAACTGTGCTGCAGAGTCTCACTTTCCTGGCTAGTCCCTAGGCTGCCTTCCTCTGTGTTTGCGATAGTCTCTCTTGTATACCAAGTCTGAGAGACTTGATCCGTTATCTCTTGGTGCTTAACCATCTATCCAGAAATCACTGGCTTTAAATAGCCACCATTTTATTTGCTCATGGGCATGGTGAGCGGTTTTGACAGATGGGTTCTTCGGTCCACTAGTCTGAAATGTCTCTTGAGGCGCTCAAGAATTCCTGTGGCTTCACTAATATGTGACAGTTGGCAGGGCCTTATTACCTGTGGCAGAACAAGGCAAACTCCTCAGCTCAGTTCAGATTTCCAGCTAGGAGTTTTCCTAAGTCCTGGCCATGGAGAGGCATCATTTATGGATGCAGGACTACTCCTGTAAATGACTAAGCATGCAAAAACAGAAAATGTGATGGATGTGCCTCTAATCCCAGCCCCCTAGAAGCAGAGGCAGGCAGATCTCTGAGTTCAAGGCCAGCCTGGCCTACAGAGTGAGTTTCAGAACAGCCAAGTTAAATAGTAAGACCCTGTCTCTAAAAGGGCAGAGCAAACCCAAAACCCCAAGCAAACAAAAGCTGAAAACCCCAGCTTTGTTTCCACGGTGTTCTCAGTGAATGCTGAATAATGGTGTCGCTCTGTTTCAGACCTCTTTGTTGTGCAAAGCTGCCATCCACGCAGGGATCATCGCAGATGAACTAGGGGGCCACATCAACCTGCTGCAGAGCAAAGGCATCGGTCATTATGAAGGAGTCCTGGCCAATGGTGTGCTCTCCCGGCAGTAAGTACTTGGCTTATGTTCTGAGAGGAGAAAGCCCTGGGGCCATAATCAGCTCACCATTTTGAAAGGACACGTGTAGTCAGCTGTGAAAATACCCGTGATGGGGCTAGGAAGTGGGCTAGGAAGACAGCTCTGCCGTTAAGAACGCTTGTTGCTCTTCCAGAGGACCCAACTTCAGTTCCCACATTGGTAGCTCACAACCATCTATGACTTCAGTTCTAGGGTGTCTGATGACCACTTCTGCACCAGGCATGCACATGGTGCACAGACATGCATTAAAGCAAAGCACTCATACTGTTAAGTTTCAAATGCTGAACAAACAGCTGACATGCCTATTTAATATTATCAAAAGTAGACTTGGCTGCCAGGTTCTCCCAGCATCCCTCAGTCCCTACCTGTTATAGGGTATGACTGGCTTACCCTGCCCTCTACCCTGAACTCTCCAGCCCAGGGCCTGGGCTGCTCTTCCTCCAGAGGCTCTTCCCTATATAATCCAGACATTTTGGTTACCCTTCCCCTCTTACACCTTTGACCTCCCAGTTGCTGCACTTGCTTCTCCTCTCTCCGTTTCCCCCCCACACACACATGGCTCAAGGTCATGCCCCTTCTGAGCTCTCCCAGATCCCCCCTGCCTCTGAGGATGCTCTCTCCCACAGATCTACAATAACCTTTCTCCTCCACCACACCTAGGAGCTGTCATGTCCTTTTCTTTCCTTTTTTTTTTTTCATTCATCACTTAAAAAATAAAGTAAATAAATCTTTAAAAATGTTTGAGAGCTTCAACAGCATTTATAATCTATGTAGAAAATAAATGTAGCAATAAATGAGCATCCTGGTTGTGCCAGCATGAGAGTTAAAATGGCCTGAGCCCTGGTGTGGAGGAGCGCTTCCAGTCTCAGCTGAACCTGCGGGAGAGAATGAATGCCTTTTTCTTCTGGGTTTTCATGGTTTCAGAAAATTACTGACCATCTCCAATTGCACCTACTACAGAAGAGGTCAGGAAACTGAAATACATGTTGATAGAACCACTGAGTCTTCCCTGACCTTCAGAGATTTCTCGAGACTGTTCCTTGAGGAGTCAGAAACGCAGCAATAAATAAATAGTAATAGCAAGGGCTTGTGTTATGTGATAGTGTCTCAGTTTGCTTCATGGGAGTGAGCATGTAAATTGATTTCCAACAAAGCCTTGTATACATTCGAGTTTCCTTAGAGTTTAGGAGATGCACAGAGCTGTATGGAAGGGAACGCAGGCTACTCCAAAGTGCAGGTGCCCACACACCTGAGAAGGCAGTGGGGAGTGGTGGAGAAGCAGGCTCCCTGCAGGTGGATAGTGGGGAAGATAGGCTCCTGGGGCCTCCAGATTCCCCACCCTCTCACTGCCCCCTCTTCCCAGTTGTAAAAGGAGACTGCACATTCCTGGCCTCCCAGACCCGAATAGTGACACAGAAGCTGTATTAATTACAGCACTGTTGGGCCGATGTCCTCAGGTGTGTTTCTAGCTAGCTCTTACATCTTAAATTAATCCGTTTCTGTTAATCTGTGTATCACCACGAGGCTGTGGCTTGCTGGTAAGGCTCTGGTGTCTTTCTACTTCAGCAGCTATAATGTATCTGCCTGACTCCACCTTCTTTCTCCCTGCATTCAGTTTAGTTCCCCCCCCCCCCTGTATTCTGCCCTGCCATAGGCCAAAGCATCTTCTTTATTAACCATTGGTAATAAAACATATCCACAGCATCCAGAGGGGAATCCCACACCAGCTGCCTGTCCCTGGAAATGTTCTACTATGATTGTGTTTTGGACAAGTTTCCACAGAGTTTTAGTCCCAAGGATGATGCTCAGAACGAAACTGCATACTCTTTGGGATCCACAAGTAGGAAGTGAATCAGGAAGACATGTATATCTTCTGCCACTCAGCTCTCTGCATGGTGGTTTCTAGCATTACTATTTTACTCTAGTCCCCTTCCTAACTATTGCTTCCTGTCGACCTTGAACTCTTGATCCTTCTGCCTCTACTGCTACCATTCTGGGATTACAGGTATATGCCCAGTTTATTCAGTGCTGCAGACTGAACCCAGAGCTCTGTGCGTGTTAGACAAATACTTGACCTCCCAGCCACTCTCCAGCACCCCAGACCCTTCCTACACCCAGAAAGCTCAAGACTGTATTTCCCTGTTCCATCCTCTACTGCCTGGTTTTATGTCAGCTTGGTACAAGCTAAAGTCATATGAGAGGAGGGGACTTTAGTTAAGAAAATGCCTCCGTTAAACAGCACTATAGGCGAGTCTTTGGGGGCGTTTTTTAAATTAGTGGTTGATATGGGAGGGCCCAGTTCACTGTGGATAGAGCCGCACTGGGCTGGTAGTTCTAGGTTCTATTAGAAAGCAAGCTCGAGCAGGTCAGTAAGCAGCACCCTCCATGGCCTTTTCATCAGCTCCGGCCTCCAGGCCAAGCCCTGTGTGAGAATTTGTCCTGAGTGCCATCACTGATGAACTATTATACGGAAGTGTAAGCCAAATAAACTCTTTCTTCCCCAACTTGCCTTTTGGTCCTAGTATTTTATCACAGTTGTCGTAACCCTGACAAAGACAACCCTCATAAAAGTGTGGACTATCTTGTTTGGTAGAAATCCTATTATAAGAATGTATTGTGAGCCACCATGTTGGGGCTGGGAATTGAACCCGGGTCCTCTGGAAGAGTAGCCAGTGCGCTTAACTAGTGAGCCATTTCTCTAGCCTGAACATATATTTTTTAGATATATATCTACCTCAACCTCAGAACATTAAATTTCACATCCTGCTTGTGGCAGAACTGATTGTTTATACATTGTGCTGTAAACCTTTAAATGCCAACCTGATCTTGACTTTTGAGAACTTTCTGTGTATGTCTATTGAAGGCCTGATGTTTTTTTCAAGAAGATAAGATGCTCTTGCCTGGACTGCTTCAACTACTTGGCCTATTTTTACATGTGTCTGAATGCTTCATGGTGACCAAGTTTAATGTGTACTGCTTGGATTTTGTTTTACTTTTGAAGAAAAACATTAAAATGGCTGAATTAAAAGTAGGCTTAATTCTCTCAATTACCCACATAGCAATTAGACTTAATGCGTAAATATAACTTTTACGTGGAAGTTAAATTTGCATGCCAAATATGTACATAAATGAAAATGATTAGCGACTTGTAGGAAGTTGGCGGTTTATCTTGTACTTAGTTGACTGAATCGTCTTGTTTTTGTTTTGGTGGGAGTAGAAAGTCCAGAGTTATAATATACAAAGGGCTGTACTTCCTCCTAGCTCTCGTGATTTCTCCCTGATCTTTGTTCTGAGCAGGGAGTTAGCTGTATGGTAAGCCAGTCTCCTCATCTTGTTTAGATCCCAAATCTTCAGGGAGCAACTGTTTTGATCTGTGATGTTTTGCCCTTGGGGAAGCACCGTACATTCGGTCATTGAACTTCTGTTCCCACACATGATTGTTTGGTGTCCAGGGGGGAAAAACAGAGAAGGAAGCATTGCAGCTGAGGAAGAAGGGGTCCCTAAAGTAAATATCCAGACCCTGCTGGGACTCATCCCGGGGTCAGGCCACTTCCTGGATCTGCGGAGACCAGAATGGAATCAGGAAGAGGGACTGACCTCATTCCAAGGAGGAGGCTCTGACCGTCAGCAGGGACAGCCTTTCCTTTGTGTGTACCTCCGATTGTTCCAGACTGTCTGTCTCTGGAGTCCCGGGGGAGCTTTCTTACTGCTGTAATTTGATGGAATTCATTCACCTCACTGCGGGTGCCTCAGAACCCTGCCCTCTCCCAGGTGGTAGTTTTGAAGGAGAAAGTTTGTGTGCCCTTAGTGTGACTTTGTCCCAATCAGTTAGTTTGATACAGTGAAGTGCACTGTAGAGGCCAGCTGATATGGAGGGAAGCCAGGCAGAGAGCTGGTAGCAGAACCTCCCTTCTTTATAAAAATGTATTATTTCATTTTAAAATTGTGTCTGCGTGTATGCATGTACACACGCAGGCATATACATGCCACAGCATTCATGTAGGGTCAGAGGACAACTTGTAGGAGAAGCAGATTTTAGGGATCACCCATTGGGCCCATTATCAATTAAGCCATCTCATAAGACTCACTTCTTCATGTTCAACAGTTATCCTTTCTAATTCTCTTTGATAACAACAAAAACCAAAACTGGATGTTTTGGTTGCCTCGCAGAAGCGAGAAAAACCATAAACATTTGTGTTGCAACATGTGGTTGATGTGACGTTTGGGAGGCCACGTTCCAATGTAGTTCTTAGTTTGGGGACATTAGGAGAAAGAAAATTAAAGTATCAGACAAAAGAGGGGCTCTTGATAAATTCTAAATTTATTCCCCACAGTATGTACCTTTCCCAGAGGGTCACGAGAGCTGGGTTCTCATCCCAGTATGGAGGTTCTTTAAAAAACTAAAACCAAGGAGCTAGAGAGATTGGTCAGCGGTTAAAAGCACTGGCTCCTCTTCCAGAGGTCTTGCGTTCAATTCCCAGCAACCACATGGTAGCTCACAACTATCTATAATGGGATCTGATGCCCTCTTCTGGTGCAAAGGTGTACATGCAAATAGAGTACTCATATGTAAAATAAATAAATCTTAAAAAAAAAAACAAACCTAAAAACAAAACTACCCTAAGACCCAGTTATACCATATCTAGGCATAAAACCAAAGGACTTTTATCCACACATCAGAGATACCTGCATGTCCACACTTACTCCAGTATATGGGGTCATACTAAGTGCCCATCACAGATGAATAGATACAGGATGAACTTTGGGCATTTGCAGGAGAATAGAACCAGAGAGCAACATGTTAAGCAAGAAAAGCCCGACCCGGGAAAATAAACATCACATTTTCCTCTCATGTGCAGAGCCTAGATTAATATAATATCTGGGTGTGGTGCGGTGCATGTCTCTAACACCAGAGGTAAGGAGCTGGGGCAGGAGGATTGTGCCAAATAAGGTTAGCTTAGGGTACCATTGTGAGATCGAGGGAGGCCAGGGCTACATAACCAGAGCTTAAAGATAATAGCAGCAAAGCAGAAAGGGAATGGGCTGCTTGGCTTTTATGTGGCACAGTGGGGTGGTCTGGGAGAAGGGCCCCAGTTAAAGAACTGCCTCTGTCCACTTGGGGTAATGCCTCTGTCCATGTCTGGGGTAATTTCTCAGTTGATGATTGGTGTGGGAGTGCCCAGTGTATTGGGTGGTGCTACCCCTGGGCAGGTGGTCCTTTGTTGTGTAAGAAAGCAGGTTGAACCAGCCAGTAAGCAGCATTCCTTCATGTCCTCCCCTTGAGTTCTTGCCCTGCAGGTTTCTGTCTTGAGTTTCTGCCCTGGCTTCCCTCGGTGATGGAGTATAATCTAAGAGTTATGAGATGAAGTAAACCTGTTCCCCTTCCAGATGCTTTTGGCCGCCATGTTTGCTGCAATGATAGAAAACACCCAAGGATAGGTGGCTCTTCAGGTTGGGGAAGCCATGGAGAGTTTGGAGTGGGGGTGAGGGGATTCAGTGCAATCAAAGTCACCTTGTGTACATGTGAGAATGCCATAGTTAAAGGCATTTTGTACGATCAACCCATACTGTTTATTAAGAGAGGTCAGGCCTCCGAGTCATGCCACCTGTCTCTTAATTTATGGCGGTTTCTGGGTTGGCTTATCCGTAAGACACTGCTGAAAATGATGGCAGGAAGCTGGCAGGAGGGTTCTGTGCTTGGCTCCAATATCTAACGAAACAACTCACGTGCCTGTCCGTCTTTTCTCTTTCAGTGGCTCCCTGTCGGAGAAACGCTTCCTGTTCACCTCCACAGGTGAGGGTCGCGACTGCCTAGCAGCCTTCTGTGGGGATTTAGTCCTGCAAAGTCCCCAGGTTATGGAGCTCAAGAATTTTCTATTTTGTTTTCTTTGTTTCCTTTGGTGGTGCTGGGTCTGATCTTTGGTAGGCATGTGACCTACCTCAAGATAGAGATAAAAGGATCAGGAGTTGAAGATCAGTCTCAGGTTTGTAGTCAACCTGGGCTACATGAGACCCAGTTTAAAAATCAGAGTAGTAAACATGTATCTATGTAAACATGTATGTGCCCATACATAGTAATAAGCCGTATGTGTATGTACACACAGACACAGTAATATGCAGTAGAATGCTATACTATACATTTCTCATTTAACTTTGAATTATGAGTGTTTTCTAAATTACTGTATATGTATTTGCCATTGATTAACCATTCTCTTCCACAATATTTACATTGTTAGATTTTTCTGAAATTTTACTCTTATGAATGATAGCAGTGGGATTTACCTGTATTTTTTTTTTTTAACCTCTTGTTCATGAACTAGACATTGCTACTTTGGTTGTTGGTCTTTTTGAGACAGGGTCTCATTATGTAACCTTAGGTGGCCTGGAATGAGATTTACAGGCTGGCCTTGAACTCACAGAGATCTGCATCTTTGCCTCTCTGATGTGGGGATCAAAGGCATGGCCCACCATGCCGGCCTGACATTTTGACTTCTGCTTGTCCTTCAGTTTCTTCCCAAGGATCACAGAGAAAGGTGCAGAGTATTAGCCTACATTTGTTTACAGTGTCGCTAGCCAGGGGTCGGTTCTGGGGCAGGAGCACCTCTTCATCTGAGGCACAGCAAGAGTAGTGGAGAAACCTGATGTTTTCAGTTGCAGAGTAAAATGCTGCTTGAGGACATCAGACTGCGTTTCCTCTTCAGCCACAGCTCTGACAATGAGAGCGCTTGGGGGACCAACCCAGGCAAGGTGGCAGTTCTCTGTCAATCTTCCCCGAGCTGTGGACGCTGAGGGTGAGAGCTTTGCTGCCAACTCTGCATGCTGCTTCCTCCCTTCAGCTGCCTCGTCCTGATTCGGGGAGTTAGCCTGAAGCCAGCAAGAAGCTCCAAGTCAAAGCGAAGCCTTGGAGCGTGGAAAGCTGCCCTTTTCAAGTGGAGGAACAATTTTATTTTTCTAGACTTGGCTCAGAGTTTACATCATCCCCCTTTACTTTGTAATGCCATAAAGGCCAAGCATGGACATTTTCCCCCAAGTGCAAAGCAGTTTTGTTTATTGTATCTGTCTATCTATGTATCTATCTATGTATCTATGTATCTATCTATCATCTATCTATCCATCTATCTATCTATCTATCTATCTATCTATCTATCTATCTATCTATCTATCTATCTAATCTATCTGAGGCAGGGTCCCTGTGTGTATCCTTGACTGGCCTGAAACTCAACATAGATCCTCTCCTGCCTCTGCCTCTTGAGTGCAGGGGTTAAAGTTGTCCACCACTGCACCAAGCTCTGAAGCAGTTTTAGGTCCTGAGTTTTGCTTATGGGTGATTGGTGTTATAACGAGGTGTCTTTCTTCTCTAGGAATGAATATCACAACCGTGATTATCCCTTCCGTGGTCTTCATTATCCTTGTCCTGGCTGGAGTGGGCGTCTTCGCAGTCTTCAGGAAGTATGTGAATTTACACAGTTTCATTTTTTTCCTCTTACTATATATGTACAGTTTATAGCTGATTTTTCTCATCACTCTGACAAAAGTAACTTAAAAAAGGGAGGGTTGGTTTTGGCTCACAGTTTGAGGGTATACAGTCTGCTGTGAAGTAGCTGGTCACATCTCATCTACCGTCAGGAATCAAAGAAATGAATACTGCCGGCTGGCTCTTTTTTTTTTTTTTTTTAATCTGAGACCCCAGTGCATGGAGTGCTACCATCTCCAATGAGGGTGGATCTTCCTATCTCAGTTAAACCTTTCTAGGCTCCGAGACACCCTCATAGACAAGCCAGAGGTGTTTTTCCATGGCACGTCTAAATCCCATCAAGTTGATAATCCTAACACATTCACAAACCCCAACTGTTTGTGCCTCTGATAAATGTATGTTAAAGAAGCAGCGCGACTTATTTAGAGATGAAATGTTAGCTTATTTTAAAGTAAGTTGGGTCCAGATGTTGGCATAGAAATACCCAGCACTACTTTCTAATCTGTTCTCGTCACATAGAAACCTTTGATAAAGGCTTCCCAATGAGCGCTGCTAAAGTCAGCACCTGGGAGCTGACATGCTCCTTTTGAAGTCTCCCCTTTTCTCCCGCCCATGGAGAGTGTGTTAGAAAGAGGATCTGAGGCCTGGGTTCAGCTCCCATCTATGTCACCAAACAATCCAGCATAGAACAAAGACCTTCACCATGACGGGGACCATAACTCTTATACACCATTTTTATTATTATAATACATGTTAGAAGTTGGATTTAAGCAAAAGTAGAAAATATTCTCAAGTTCTCTTTTTACATTTTAAACAGTGTCAGAACTCATAAATATGTATATTAGTATGGGAGAATGTTGAATCATTCTATATAGTTAATATAACTGATATTAATTGCTTTTAAAGGCACCTATAGTTTGTACTTTATAGCAAATAGTATATAAAAATGATCATTACAAATTACTTAAGGATTTTATTAGTTTCCTGAGCCAATGAGAAAATCAAATAATAACATTGCTTTCTAGTACACAAAATAAAATTAGTATCAGTGAAAATATTGTGACCTTCATTATAAGATATATTTACATATGATCATTATATGTAAGCATATGACAGCTTCTAGATCATTCAGTTCTCAGGAAAGCCTATGAGGTAAGTACTATTCTGATATTCATATTATATAAAGAGACAAGGTGGACAACTTGACTTCCAAATATTTAGGAGGACTTTTTGTCTTAATAGGAGGAAGAAAAAAGGAAATCCGTATGTATCAGCCGAGGCTCAGAAAACAGGTTGGTTTAAAACTCCATCTGCATTTGATTCTGTCTTTAAGGAAAGGGGCAAGGTCTATCAATGCAGTGCATTTGTAGGATTGGTAATATAGCTTAGTGGTAGAGTGCTTGCCTAGCATGTGCAAGGTCCTGGGTTCAGTACCCAGTAAGCCACTCTATCTGTGGTTTGTCCATGGTGTGGGCACTATGTTCCAAGACACCAGTGGTTCCTCAAAACTGTAGATAGAACGAAATAATATATATAGAGAAAGCTTGTACATGCATAGCTCTGGGAAAGTAGTTTATATATTAGGCAGTGAGAGATCAGCAAACAGCTAGGTAATAATAGAATAGATCAGCTATAATATAGTGAAATTGGATGGCCAGTGTCACCATTTTGCTTTGGTGCATCATAAAGTAAAGTGACTAAAGGAGAGGGTTTTAGTTTCTTTCCCTCTTGCTGTGATAAAATACTCAGAAAAAAGCAATTTAAGAGCTGGTCATGGTAGCACATGCTTTTATTCCCACCCAGCACTTGGGAGGCAGAAGCAGGCGGATTTCTGTGAGTTTGAGCCTGCCTGGTGTACAAAGCCAAGACTACAGAGAAACTACTGCCCAGTCCGTGTCCTGACCCTGCCCTCCTCCCCCTCCCCCCTCTCCCCCTTTTATTTACAATTCGGGATCCCAGGCAGGAAATGGCCCCATCATGTTGGGTGGGTATTCCCACCTCAGTTAATACAATCAAGATAATCCCCCTTCTAGACACCCATTTTTCAGGTGAATCTATATTCTGTCAAGTTGACCATCACAGGAGGGTGGCATAGAGAGAGCAGATACACCAGACAGGAGGGTGGTTCATAGTCCACTCCGCACTGGGCAAGATTTCATTATTCTCCTAAGAACAGCGTGCCATTTAAGATATGAATTGCTTATAGAATTCTTTCATTTAATACTTTGGTTTGTGGTTCCTTTGTTTTTGGAAAATAAATAGTAGCTAATATGAGACTACTATTTGTTTTTTTTAACCTTTGAATTACGAAGCTACATGAAGAATTTCATTGTGTGTAGTCTGTGTTCTACTTCAGCACGTTCGTGCCATCTTAGCATATTTAGCATGCGTCCTTTCCCACTTAAACTCTTCATTTGTGTATGTGTATGGGAAATTAGACTACCATACTGTCTGTCACCAAGGAGAGTGACAGCAGAGCTGTCAGTGAACTGAGCATGTGCTGGGCCTGGGTTCTATTCTTAGAATCAATACATTAAGTGACTACAGGCAGGACTGGTGAGCTGGCCAGAGTTTGATTCCTGAATCCACATAGCGGTAGTAGAGACCTGACTCCAGAGAGTTGTCCTCCGATCTCTGCACGTACCAGGACATGGGCAGGCACACCCACACCTTTTATACAGAGTCCAATAATAATCAGGACAATTAAAAAAATAACATGCATGAAGCATTTTCAGACCTCTTTGCACAATTGAGGATTCAACTATGGTAGACAAGAGTTCTACCACTGAGCTACAACACTAGTCGGCTCTCCTGCCCCCTTTCATTTCTTATTTTAGGTAGGGTCTCACTAAGTTTTCTAGGCCAGTCTTAAACTCACTTTGTAGCTCAGGCAGGCCTTGAACTTTTTTTTTCCTTCCTGCCTGAGCCTCCTGAGTATTTTAAGATTATAGGGCTGTACAAATAGTCCTGATATCTTCCAGTATTTTTTAGATCACAGCTAGCTCACTGCTGTGTCTGCTCTTTGTGTCTTCCCTTGGTAGTTTTCTGTGTCCCTGAGATAATGTCTCAATGTAGTCCAGGCTTACCTTGAACTCACTATTAATTCTGGGCTGGTCTGGAGCTCCCAGCAATCCTCCTGCTGTGGCATTCTTGGTGCTGGGATTACGGGTAGATACCACTGACCTGTGCCCTAAGAATTCTCCAGAACAAACACATGATCCTTGCTTGATCCATTCCCGGAAGATACAGCGGAGGCCTGGAGATGTTGGAAAGAGGTCAAGTCTAAACAACAGCTGTGTTGTCCCCTCAGGGGTGCGAGTCTTAAGTGGATGATGGAAAACTGGGCCCAGATGGTTCCAAAGCTTGGAGGCTACGCCCATTTTTTTTTAAAGTTAGTTATTTTATGTGTATGTGTATTTTGCCTGCCTGAATGTATGTCAGTAACTATGTCCGTGCCTGGTGTACACGGCGTCCAGAAGAGGATGCTGAATTCTCTGAGTCTGGAGTTACAAATGTCTGTGAGCTGCCACGTGTGTGCTCGCAATCGAAATGCAGTCCTGGAAGAGCAGCCCGTGCTCTTAACCACTGAACCACATTTCCAGTCCACAGGTACATTTAACACCAGCAGTGGGAGCCAGGTATGGCGGTACACACCTTTAATCCCAGCACTCAGGAGCCAGAAACAGGCAGATCTCTGTGAGTTCAAACCTGGTCTACAGAATGAGTTTCAGGACAGCCAGGGCTATGTAAATAGACTCTAGTTCAAGAAAATGAACAAAGCCATCAGTGGGCAATGTGCATATTGATGGGTTTGTGTCATCACACTGACCGAAGGGCTTATCAACATCCTGCAAGAGACTGACTTCTGTCTGACACCCGGAGGAACGCATAGTGTGTGAGTTAGATGCCTGATGAATTACTTCCTATTCTCTTTATTTCAGGCTGTTGGAAGCAGATTAAATATCCCTTTGCTAGGCATCAGTCGACCGAATTTACCATCAGCTATGACAATGAGAAGGAGATGACACAGAAGCTGGATCTTATCACTAGTGATATGGCAGGTGAGTGTCATCCTCAGGGACCGTTCTCTACGGAGGTTCCACTGTGGGAGACAGGGAACAGGACAGCGCTAAGGATAAGATCCCTTATTATAGCAGTCTGTACTCTGTACTCTGCAGAGTTTCAAGCTGACACTAAGCTATTGGTTGATAGATCCTTCAGCTGAGTCGGGTATACCTACAGGGCACACAATGACACAAATGGTCAGAGGCCCACAGCACTGCTAGTCTCTGGAAGCTGATCTATTTTCGCCACCCAGGCTTTTATTAAAGAATTAGGAAAGAGGGTCAAGAAAGGCTAACTGAATGATGAATTAATACGTCTTCGGCTGCTGAGCAGAGGGAGCTGCGTTAGGGGATCTGTCGGTCAGAATGGCTCAGTGTCTCTGAGGGAGCATCACTATGTCCTGTCTTCCAGTTTTATCTCTGGACTGTTAATCTTCTTCAGCTTGCCCCCAAAGGTCCCTCAGGCTGCTAGTGTGTGGATTCTGAGTGAGACCCCACATCTAAGGTCTCATACATTGAGCCCCTATGATCTGACAGATCATAGCACATGGTAGGAACAGCTTCAAGTCCTAACTGTACTACTGACTGCTGTGTGAGTGGAGAAAGTCACTTGGTTTCCCTCTGCTTTTTTCCTGTTGTAACGTGGAATGATAGTCCTACATCAATTCTGAAAAGACTTGAGTTATTTCACTGTCTTAGAAGACTCTTGGCCAAAAAAAATAAAAGAAGCCGGTGGTGGTGATGCGTGCTTTTAACCCTAGCACTCAGGAGGCAGAGGCAAGCAGATCTCTGTGAGTTCAAGCCAGCCTGGTCTACAGAGATAGTTCCAGGACAGCCAGGGCTGTTACACAGAGAAACCCTGTCTTTAAAAACCAGTAGGGCTCTTTCGTTATCCGGATGCTCATCACTAAGCACGGACCTATTGCTGATCTCTTGCTTCCATTAACCCAGGTCCTTTAATTCTCTTGCCACATCAAACTGTCTTCATGGTTGTCGGTTCTCTAGAGTAAAAGAATCTATAGAATGTGTGTGTGTATTTGTGTGTGTGTATGCCTAGGAAAAGGACTTGTTAGAATGGCTTACTGGCTGTGGTCCACCTACTCCAACAATGGCCATCTACCAATGGAAAGCCCAAGAATCCAGTTGTTGTCCAGTTCATGAAGGTAGCTGTCTCAGCTGACCCATCAGTATACTCCAAAATCCCAAAGAAGTAGGGTCTAATGCCAGAGAGTGAATGGACTTGCTAGCAAGAGCAAGCAGGCAAAGAGAGAGCCAAGTTTCCTTCTTCCATCTCCTTTATATACTGATTATAGGTGGATCTTCCCACATTAATGATCCAGATTAGAAGTGGGTCTTTACACTTCTAATGATTTAATTTAATCAAGAGGGGGAAAAAAAAGTCCCTCACAGGGATTCACCTCAAGTAAATAAGTAAAAGTCACCCCTAAAGTGGACATGAAGTTGCACACCTGTAAGCCCAGCAAACCAGAGGGTAAGTCAAGAGGATCACAAGTTCAAGTCTAGGTGGGGTTATAGAACAAGACCCTGTCTATAAATGCGTAAGTAAATGCCTCTCCTCTACAGAACATTTTCCCCCTAACCAAATGTCTACTGTCTTCTATGGTTCGGTGGCCTTTTGTGGCTTCCTGAAACAGGCAGTATTATGGTGGTTTAAGCCGCAGCTGCAGCATCTGACTTGCGTTTCATATTTCCCAGTGGAGAGTCACGTGGAAGGGAAAGTATGCTCTGCGACTCGCTCACTCACCCTCGTGTCTGCAGGTGCACTAATGATGTGCTCCTTTGCTTTCAGATTATCAGCAGCCTCTCATGATTGGCACCGGAACAGTCACGAGAAAGGGCTCTACCTTCCGGCCCATGGACACAGACACCGAGGAGGCCAAGGTGAGCACTGAGGCCAGTGGCCACTATGACTGTCCTCAACGCCTGGGCCGCCATGAGTACGCATTGCCCTTGACGCACTCTGAGCCGGAGTACGCCACGCCCATCGTGGAGCGGCACCTGCTACGAGCCCACACCTTCTCCACGCAGGATGGCTACCGAGTGCCTGGGTTTAGGCCCACTCACAAACACTCCCTTTCCTCCGGAGGGTATCCCCCTGCTGCGGGAGCCACCCAGAGTGAAGGCTATCAGAGGCCAGCAAGCCCCAAGCCTGTGGGTGGTGCCTACGACAAGCCGGCACCCAGTAGCTTCTTGGACAGTGGAGACCCTGCTCCTCAGTTGCAGATGACTCCTGGGGTGAATGATGGTTATTCAGCACCCAGAAACGGACTTGCACCCCTCAACCAGATGGCCGTGACTGCTCTTTTGTGAACCCAATGTGAAAGAAACCTGCTGTGGTACTGAGCGAGCTCTGCTGCAAGTCACTGGAGAAGTGCGCGCATGCGTGTGTAGACTCTTCGTGATCCTAGAGACAACCTCACTTACTGTTTACAGAACTGTGCAGCTGGTTTTGTTCCGACCCTTCCAGCAGAGCCGGTTGGTTTCTATTTTGCAGGAATAGAGACTTTTCCCATTTCTCCAACTGTGATGCTGTGCTGTAAAATGTGCAATTTGTACAGTCGTATTTAACATGAATTAGAGTAACGAAGTTTATGGTGTTTGTTTTCTACATAGGGGCTAAGGTGAAAGCTTGGAATTCGCCGAGATGCGGTAGAATATGTGCCTGTTTCTCAGTGTGTTGGGTTATCTGACACTGTTAGCTGCAGGTCTGTTTAAAAAACCCTGTCTGGTTGTGGTGGCTCGTTTCATTCTTGATAAACTAAAAACATTTTTTAAAAACATTTTTTTTTCTCCTGGAAGAAATGAAATTACTTGAAATATGAAAAGCACACAAGGTTGGGGTAAGTGATTGTTAGCTATCATGGCCGTAGATTTGTGCAAGCAAGCACACCACTAGAGCACCTGCTGCCTGCTTAGTGAGTGAGGGCAGCTCAGTGTCCTGGCTCTGTGTGGGACCCAGCTGCACCCTGAGGAACCCCATTCTCTAAGGCAAGGACTTGGCCTTATTTATTAAAGCACAGTTTTCACAAGCAAATCTGCCTTTCCACGGTGCTGAGACCGAAGGCAGTCCACGCTTTCTCTCCATAATTTGTAATGAAGGTAGCCGAGCAATTGTAGCTCGGGGGACTGTCAGGTATTCCTAAACCCCAGCTTAAAAATGTTGCTGAGCTCAGAAGGCCTACTTCTCATAGCTTTCTCCAGAAATAGTGCATGTTGGTGACTTCCATTATCCTGGAAAACTAGCAGACATTTGAAATGTGTTCTTCCGCGTGTCTACGTAGAGCTTTTCCAGGGGAGAACAGGTAGCTGAACTGGTGGTGTGAAAAGCTGTTTTCTCCTACATATGTGATTATGTTCATAGAGTAGCCTTGGTCTCGGCTGGACCTCGTCTTCAGTGTTGTTTTCCCTGAGTTTGCTTTGTGAATTAACTGGGGGAATTGAACCTCTTTTGCCAAAGAGGAAAAATGTATGTGTTTTGTTTGTTAATAGAAAATATGGACCAAAAAAACCCACAATCCTTTCTTTAAAAACTGTAACCCTCTTTGTGTGTGTGTTGTTTTCTATGAATCAGATCTGTGTTAAAATGGGGTGCTGAAAGATCATGGCAGACTGTTTGGTTATAGCGAAGGATAAACCATTTTACTTTATGGAGTTTACATGATTCTGTGTGTATCCTAATTGTAATAAACTATGCCAAATCAGAGCCCCTGAACTCTCATTGGGCCCCTGCTTGTTGGGCTAGTGAGAGGCTCACCCTGGAGCTGAATTTCCATAAGGCAGTTTGCAACTTTTAAAATTCAGGCTCTAATATAGCCCAGGATGACTGTCAACTCTCAGTGTAGCTTTGGATGACCTTGGATTTCTGATCCTGCTGCCTTTGCTGGAATTACAGATGTGCACCATCACATCTGGTTTTCCTTTTTGTCCTGTGAGAGGCTTTAGTCACACTGTCAGGTTAAATAGTTACAATTAGAGCATCTAGTTCTTGATGCCTGGTCACCTGGGTGATGATTGCTTTTCCTGTTTGTAGAAACTGATTTAAACTGTGCTGGGGACAACTTATGAAGTCAAAGGACCACTCTCCAGTCACACTAATGCCACTTAGAACACACTCTCCATGAACAGTCACGAGCGTTTGTTTACATACAGAGACGCGCCCCACCCCCACACCAAGCTGACTTGTGTTCACCTCCAGTCACCTGTCTGTTTGGCTCACTGCATAAATCCTCTAATAAATCCTTGGATTTCTCTATTTTCACCTTATTTTTAGTGTTTTTGTGCATGTGTATGCCATGTTTAACATAGTCTACCCACCCTTTCTCTTTCCTATCCCCATCCCTTATCCCCCTTGTGACCCCAGACATTTTCAGTTCTGTTTTACATACACAGGCTTCATTTAACATCAAAATTATGTGACCACATAAAATCTACAGACATCAGTCATGGTAGCACATGACTGTTTTTTTTTTTTTTTTTTTTTTTTTTTTTTTTTGAGACAAGGTTTCCCCATGTTCTGTAGACCAGGCTAATTTTGAACTCACAAACATTTACCACTAAGTCTGGTGTCACATGATTTTAATTCCAACACTTGGAAGGCAGAGGCACGCCTGGTCTACAAAGCAAGTTCCAGGTCAGCCAGGAAACAAAAATTTTCAAAAAACAAACAATTAAAATCTGGGAGCCACAAACAAAATGCCAATTCCCACCACCCACATGGCAGCTCACAGCCATCCGTATCTCCAGTTCCAGGGAATCTGACACCCTCACTCAGACATCCATCCACGCAGGCAAAACAACAATGCACATAAAAATAGATTATTTAAAAAATGCCTTATTTATCAGACACTGTCTTAATTTGCTTAATAGCCCACTACATTCACTAAATTCTGTTTGGGGGAGGCAGATTGGACTCCAGAACTTCTTCCCCTTCAGCCAGAGTGCCTCAGAAATTCAATTCTCTAAACGAGTTCACTGAGCTGTGAGTGACAAATATCCTCAATGTATCAATACAGTGGAAAGAATGGATAGGAAGAGACCTTCAAACAGCTCCTTGTTCAAGGTTTGTTCCCCACCTGGTAGGTCCGATCATTGAGAGATGATCAGATCATCTCATTAGATTCATCCCTTAATGGAATCATAACTGGTAACATTAGGAAGGAATGGACACCAGGAGGTGGGCTGAGACTGGAGAAAGGAAGCCTCCCTAAGACATACCCAGTGGAAGATTTATTTTACTCCTTCCCATGTTGTCTCCTTCCTGGCTGCCTGACTCAGCTGAGAAGTCTCCTCTGCTGAGGACTCCTTCCATCTTCGTCTCAGACCCACAGTGTTGGAGCCTGGACTTAAACAATGAGCAGAAATAAATCCTTAAAGCATCGTTTCCTCTCACAAGCTTTTCATGGTGCCAAATACAGCTGGCTCACACAGCTCACACTGTAGCATTCCATCCTGGGCAGGTGGTGGTGGAGCCCAGGGAGGTGGCATCACCAAAAGAGACTGCAACTTTATCACCATAGTTACTCTGGCTTTTTTCCCTTTGTTATCTCCAGCAAAAGCCCAAAAGGTTAGTATTTGGGATTTATCTTTGCACAGCCTGCACGCTGTCCCCCTCATCCCAGTGAAAACTGCCCTCATTGTCGAAGCCTGAGTCTAAGATAACTTTGAGGGTTTCTAAGCAGAAGGTTTTCTTGTCAAATATGGATATCAAGTTGTTTATAGCAAACCTTCATATGGAACATTTCAAGGAAGAAAACCTCTCCACTGGCCTGAAAAATGTCTAAGTACACTTGACAAATTCAAATGATGAGTTACGTAATGTCTGTATACAGGAACTCTATATACGCAAAAGGCAAAGTTCTACTTTAGGGGACAGAACCCCCAAACTGACCCATCACAGTCACTTGCTCATCTAAGCAATTAGATTCAGTGACAATAGAGTGGCCAAGCTGTTTAAAAGCAGTGGCTGTGACCACATTGCTAGTTATCTGGGCTTCTACACTAATCTTGGGACAACAGGTTGAGACACCACACCAAGTCCCGACAGTGTTAGACGTCATCAGACAAAGCGCTTGCTGCATTAGTCTTATGACCTGAATCCAATGCTAGAATCCAAGTAAAGATGAAAGGGGACAGAATGGACTCCACAAAGTCATCTGCAGTTTGCACACATATCCAAGGCAGGTGCAAGCCACCCCCCCCCCACACACAAATGATAATAGGAATAATAAATACGTGTATTTTTATTAGCTTAAAGATATGCCTCTTCATGGCTTTGAGGTTGATGGCTCATGGGTAGCAACAGTTTGATAGAAAACTCATTTAAAAAGCAGAACACACAATGGTTACTTGCCCTGGTACCTTAAAGGGAATATGCTTCTCAAGCCTCTGTCCCTAAAACAGTGCTTATTGCCCATATTCAGGCCTTACACTTAGAACAAGAAAAGATCTTAAACATCCAAACAACTCCAAGAACAGGTTTGTAGTGTCTGCCCATCTGGAAGGGGAGCAGAACGTTGATGGCTAAAATTTCCCAGTGGAATATAGGTGTCCTCTCCCAACCTAGGAGGCAGCACAGCTCCCTCTATAGGAGGCAGTGATTCACTGTGGGGCAATCAGTGGAGCAGATCCATGAGGAGCCAAGGGACTGACTGATAGGGCGGTTACGACTGAGAAGTTTGTAGCGAACCCAAACTCTCCTGGAGAGTACTACACAACTGCATAAACTTCTGGGCGTGGTCCCAGATGGTCCTCATCTCATCAAAATGCCCAAAGACCACCTCCTCAGCAGTACAGGAAAGACAGAATGGATCACTGGTTGATAAAAGACCGTGCTCTGTAAAGTGGAGCAATGAAAACTTACGAAACACAGGAGATAACCTATTGTGGAAGGAGTGTCTAAGACTGATATAAAGTCTTATATCTTATACTCTTGCAGCAAAGGGACTTCATAGAACTATAAAAATATTGTTCAAAATGGGCAAATTTTCATATAAAACAATCTTCTAGTGTCTCCTCAAGTTAAAACTTTTTTTTTTATGCTCATGAGTTATCTGTCTGCATGTATGTGTATCACATGCATGCAATGCCTCCAGAAGCCCAAAGAAGGAACTGGAGTTATATAGTTACAGACCATTGTGCTCTACCTCCTTAACATTTTACTTAAATATTTATTGACTTTGGTAGGACAGGGTCTCTCCAGGTAGTCCTAGCTGTCCTGGAGTTCTTGATGTAGACAAGGCTGGCCTCGAACTCACAAAGATGTATCTGCCTGCCTCTGCTTCCTGAGTGCAGGGATTAAAGGCGTGTACCTCTATGCCTGGCTAACTCTTCAACTTTGAAAGACTGTCCAGTATTAGAGACCTCTGCAGAGAAAGAATGGCAATTAAAGTTCATGTACAAACCTTGACAGCCAGGTGCACACGTTCACAGGGTTTACAGACAATTTCCTAGAATAGAGGGAAGCCTCCTCAGTACAACAGAAAAGGTCACAAAAGTTCCCGGTGTCTGCTAGAAATTATCCCTATGTTAGGACTCCTCAGATCTTTCCAAATTCATACAGGGCCTTCTTCTGTTGCAAAGGTGACTCGAACCCTCTATTCCTCTTAAAATTAATGACAAGCTATATTCCACCTGCCATCTCTAGCTCTTAGGGAAAACAGAAAAAGGCCATGGTGGTGTAAGGCTTTAATTTTAGCATTTGGGAGGCAGAGCCAGATGGGTGTCTGAGTTTGAGGCCAGCCTGGTTTACAGAGCAATTTTCAGGACAGCCAAGGCTCGCAGAGAAACCCTGCCTTGAAAACAAAACAAAGGAACAAAATGGTTTTTTATATTATTTTTATTTTATTGAGTTAGACCCTGATGTACAAGATGTCTTGGTGTAAACTCGGTGTAGTTGAGGATAACCTTGAACTTGTGATGGCCTGCCTCTGCCTCCCATGTTAGGATGGGCACGTATGACTGCAGCCTGCCTTTAAGTGTGGTTGTATCTGTAGTGGCTGGAATGAAAGCTCCCTCACTTCCGCTATTACCAACTGTTAATAATCTATGCTAAATGAGTGCCCTGACTTTCACAGAGGCCCATTTAGCATGGATGGAAGACTTGTCTTCAAATCACATTTCTGAAATACAAAGAACCAAGGCTGGAGAGATGGCTCAGAGATTAAGAGCACTGATTGCTCTTCCAGAGGATTCCGGTTTTAATTCCCAGCACCTCACAACTGTCTGTAACTCCAGTTCCAGAGAATCCAGCATCCTCACAGACACACATACATGCAGGCAAAATAACAATGCATATAAAATACAAATAAATAATTTAAAAAAAACATTAACAAAAGAACCATTGCTTTGTGTGTCAGCTTAAAAACTTTACCCAGTACAGGGGGTATAGGCACTTGCCATCAAGCCTGAAAACGCAAGTTCAATCCCCACATCCTACACGATGAGAGAACAGACTCCCTGCAAGTTATTCTGCAACCTCCATACATGCACCATGCTCTTCCTTCACAAAATTACTTCCAATGAAACATTTTAATATATGAGCCTATGGAGGTCATTCTCATTTAAACCACCATAGTTAGTTGTGGGTAGTAATCCTTTTGCTGGCTTATTTCTGAAACAGGCTCTCACTGCATAGCTTCAGCTGGTCTGCAACTTTTATGTAGATCACGCTGGTCTCAAACTTACGAAGAACTGCTTGCCTCTGCC